TTGTTTATTGCGAACCGAGCGTAGGTGTTCTGCAAAGCGGTCCCCGACTCTCCGCTTGGAGGAAACGTCAGCCTCTCTGCTCCTATGCTGCTGCTTGGCCTGCTGTGTTCATCCAGCCCTGCACCTTGTTGTCTCGAGGCCTGTAATTATTTTTGTTTCTCCAAAGAGAGAAAAGCCCTGGTAGTTTGAGTTATGTCTGCAGCAGCAGATTTCCCTTATTCCTGTTCAGCCAAAGTGCAGGAATAAAACCTTGTAGAGAAGCTCTTCTACAGTTCCTCAGCTACAGAGCTCAAGGCTGACCTGAGAAACTTGTTCAAGGGATGTGAGCATCGCTGGCTGTTCAGTATGTATTGTCCGTCCCTAGTTACCCCTTAAGAAGGTGGTGACGAGCTGCCTTCTTGAACCACTGCAGTCCATGTGCTGTAGGTTGACCCTTAGGGAGGGAATTCCAGGATTTTGACCCAGCAAAGAACGGCGATATATTTCCAAGTCAGGATGGCGAGTGGCCTGTAGGGGGAACTTGGAGGGAGGGTGTGGTGTTCCCATGTATCTGCTGCCCTTGTCCTTCTAGATGGAAGTGGTCGTGGGTTTGGAAGGTGATGTCTGAGGATCTTTGGTGAATTTCTGCAGTGCATCTTGTGGATAGTACACACTGCTGCGGCTGAGCGTCGGTGGTGGAGGGAGTGGATGTTTGTGGATGTGGTACCAATCAAGCGGGCTGGTTTGTCCTGGATGGTGTTGAGTGTTGTTGGGGCTGCCCCCATCCAGGCAGGTGGGGAGTATTCCATCACACTCTTGACTTGTGACTTGTAGATGGTGGAAAAGTTTTGGGGAGTCAGGAGGTGAGTTACTTGATGCAGAATTCCTCACCTGCCTTTGTAGCCACTGTGTTTGATGGCTGTTCCTGTTTGATCAGGTGACTGGTCAACATTAACCCGCAGCAAGGTGATAGTGGGATATTCACTTGATGGGAACGCCATTGAATGCAGAGGGTCAATGGTTAGATTCTCTTGCTGGGGATTGTCATTGTCTGGCGCATGTGTGGCATGATTGTACTTGCCACTTGCCAACCAAAGCCTGGATATTGCCCACGTATCTGTGTAATGGTAAATAAATAATAAGACCGCAGATGCTGGAAATCAGAAACAAAAGCAGACAGTGTGGGAGAAACTCAACAGGTCTGGCAGCATCTGTAGAGCGACTATTAACCTTGAGTTCATGAATCTTTGTCAAGGGTCACTGGTCACAAAATGATAACTCTGTTTCTCTCTCCACAGATGCTGAATTTCTCCAGTACTGTCCGCTTTTGTTTCTGCCTAACAGTGCTCCTTAAATGTTGTGAGGTTTCCCTAGGCAGTGCATTCAAGACCCACACCACCCTCTGGGTGAGAAAATGTTTCCTCAAATCCCCTCTAAACCTCCTGCCTTTTGCATCAAAATTGTGCTTCCTTATTATTGACCCTTTGAACAGCTGCTTTCTATCCACCCTGTCCATGCCCCTCATAATCTTATACACTTCTATCAGGTCAGCCCTCAACCTTCTCTGCTCTGAAGAAAACAATCCAAACTTAACGAGCCTCTCTTCATCGCTGAAATGCTCCATACCAGGCAGCACCCTGGTGAATCTCCTCTGCACCCCCTCCACTACAACCATGTGCATGTCCCATGAGTAATTTAACATATTGACTTAATCCATCAATTGATTTCCAAAGTAGATCATTCAGTCGGTTAAAAGAGAAGGATCTCAATTGTTACAACTTCACTGGAGAAAATGAAAAGGGGAGGCAATGGCCTAGTGGTATTATCACTGGAATGTTAATCCAGATACCCGAATAATATTCTGGGGACCTGGGTTCGAATCCCATCATGGCAAATGGTGGAATTTGAATTCAATAAATATCTGGAATTAAGAATCTAATGATGACCATGAATCCATTGTCAGTGGTCAGGAGAAACTCACCTGGCTCACCAATGCCCTTTAGTGAAGGAAACTGTCATCCTTACCTGGTCTGGCCTACATGTGACTCCAGACCCACAGCAATATGGTTGACTCTGAACTGCCCTCTGGGAAATTAGGGATGGACAATAAATGCTGCCCAGCCAGTGACGCCCTCATCCCACGAATGTATAAAGGAAAAAAAAAATTCCAATATTGCTTAGAATTCATTACTGTTTCAGTCAGGGACGGCCATGGTATACTGGTAATAGCTCTCAACTAGTAATCCAGAAACCCAGCTGCAGGTCTGAGGACACTGGTTTGAAACCTGCCCTGGCAAACGGTGAAATTTGAATTCAGTAAAAATCTGGTATTAAAAGCTAACCTAATGCTGACCATGTTAATTGTGGTAAAATCCCATCTGGTTTCCTTCACAGGAATGTCTAGGATCAGCGGGTATCATCTCACAATAAAGAGGCACCGATTTAAGACTGGGATGAGGAGGAAGTTCTTCTCTCAGAGGATTGAGAGTCTTTGGAACTCCTTGCCATAGAGAGGTGTGGGGTCAGTGTCCTTGTGTATATTTAAGGCTGAGAGTGATTCTTGATCAGTCAGGGAATCAAGGATTACAGGCAAAGGGTAAGGAAGTGAATGTGAGGAATGTTGGATCAGCCATGATCCTACTGAATGGTGGAGCAGGTTCAAGGGGCTGAACGGCCTGTTCATGTTCCAATTTCTTGTGGTCTTATTAATGTCATTCAAGGAAGGAAATCCTCCATCCTTGCATGATCTGGTGTAGCTGCAACTCCAGACCCACAGCAATGTGGTTGACTCTTAAACATGCAGGGGGCAATGCTGCTCTAGTCATTGAAGCCCATTTCCCAAAAATTAAAATGTATCTCAAAGGGTAAACCTAGCACAAATTCAGAAATAAACATACAAGAGCACCATTTTAAGGTCGATATTTTCTAATCGATCTGTTCAGAGATGTTATTGTATACCTCTGGAGCAGGTGGGACTGTAAGCCTAACCTCCTGGCTCACAGGGTAGGACACTATCAGTATGCCACAAGAAACATTTATACACAAAATAAGGACATGATTGAATTGAAACCCATCAGATTTTAACTTTTACTTTTCGTTAATAAGTGCTGTATGTTATTCAACTGTTCAATAGCTATCAATGTGTGTTTTTTTTAATATTTGTCCATTGGAGATAAGATCAGCCATGATCATGTTGAATAGTTGGAGTTCTTATGTAAGAAGACAACCCCAATGTGTAAATATATAATTCAGCTCTGCTCTACCACTCCCAAAGATACACAAGTCCAGCTGCAGTAATATAGTTTCTCAGCTGGAACCTGACTCTCAATGAGTTCGAACAGAAGCTAAGTTATCATCAAGTCTCACTAAACACAAACACTCACTCAGTCTCCCTTTTAGACGCAGCTCCTCTGTTACATACATCCTCACACTTCCTCTCTCATTTTACCTATAGAAGGGCGATTTCCCACTCTCGCACACATTTACACTTCTGCCCACCCCCCCCGTCCTCTCACATATTTACACTTTCCCTCTCTCTCACATTTTCAAACACGCCCTTTCCCTCACACACTGAGCCTGTCTCATTCCCAATTCTTTCTAAATTATCAGACAACTGATCTTTGATTTTTCTAGGCTACAACCGAAGCTAATTTGAGGACAGTTTAGTCTATTTCACATTCTGATCATCATCCAGGGTGATCTTCCACAACACTCACCTCCGACAATGTCCCATAACTTCACCTTCCTGTCACTGCCTCCAGTCGCCAGGATCTTGGAGTTTGGAGAAAACTTGACAGCATTAACCTCACCGTCATGTGCTTCCTGCTTAAAAGAGCAAAAATGTACACACACACTCTGAGAGGTGATTCTATTTGTTTTATTTTCAATTTGATTTTATTTGACTTCAGGATGACAGTTCCACCTTGCTCTCCTGTTAATGTTTCTGTCCTGAGTCTGGTTCCAATGAAGCTCAACACAAGCTGGAGGAACATCTCATATTCCGCTTAGTGCTTCGCAGTCTCAAGGTCTCCAAACTGAATTTCAGAACTTCAGAGCATGACCTCTCCCTCTGCTTTTCTTACATCACCTCCCCCTGCCCCCACCTCCCCCACTGCAGTATCTTGTTTGTGTTTGTTGACTTTGCTGTCAGTAGAAAGTGGGCCATTTTCTCCTTCTTGTGCTTTCATTTACACCCATTTTACATCTCAATCACTCCTTCACCACCACTAGCACTCCCTTTGGGTTTTTTTTTGCTTTGGACACCCTCAGCATCTGTTCCACTCGCTCTTCCTCCCCCTCTGTCAACGGCGTTAAAGCTCTCTAGGTCAGAAGCTAGGAACCCTGCAGTGAGTAACTCACCTCCTGACTCCCTGAAGCCAGTCCACCATCGACAAGGCACAAGTCGGGAGTGTGATGGAACACTCTTCAGTTGCCTGGATGAGTGCAGCTCCAATAACACTCAGGTGTGAGTGCCAGAGACACATTATACAAAGCAGCAGAGAGATCCTCACTCCCACTGATTGTCCCTCAGATTACAACCATATGACAGCTCAACAGTCACTCACCAAGCTGAATCGAACTCTAGCCGGGACTCTTGCGACCGAACAGAAGTTTGTTGGATTGCAATCCACTCCAACGAAAGATGTATTTGCCCGCTTCCTGTTCAGGGAAGATTATACATGTTCACAGACATGCACACTCAGGGAGGCATGCATATGCACACACACAAATGCATACAGACACATGAGACACAAACGCACACACACATTTACATACATACACACACAAAAGTACAGGCACAGAGGCACACACAAATAAGCACAGATACACACACACACACACACACACACAC